TTCTGAGTAAATTTTAGCCAAGCAAAATTCTTTAAGAACACAACAAGACTGGTGTAAGTATAGACCGCGGATTATCAAAAAATAAATAAATATTTATCAGTGAAAATGTGGAATAGACTCCCTCAAGAGTTGGTTCTACGCAGCTCAGTGGATTGCTTTAAAAATGTCCTGGATTATTTCTTAGATACACAGAATATAACTGGATATAACATTTACAGGTCCAGTTCATCCAGGGAATATCTGATTGCCTCTCGGGCGATCAGGAAGTAATTTTTTCCCCTGTAGGAGCAAATTGGATCATGCTTTTCTGGGTTTTTTTGTCTTCCTCTGGATCAACTGTGGGTGTAGGATTATAATTTTTTTTTTTTTTTTATGGTTGAACTGGATGGACTTTTGTCTCTTTTCTGCCAGACTAATTATGGAACTATGGAACTATGTAACAATAACTCTACACCGAGTTCAATATATGAACCACTGAACCACTGATATATTTATTCATGGAGATCATATCCCCCCCTTATGTATTATACATGGTGATCATATCCCCCCCCCCTTATGTATTATACATGGAGATCATATCCCCCTTATGTATTATACATGGAGATCATATCCCCCCCCCCCGTTATGTATTATACATGGAGATCATATCCCCCCTTATGTATTATACATGGAGATCATATCCCCCCCCCTTATGTATTATACATGGAGATCACATCCCCCCTTATGTATTATACATGGAGATCATATCCCCCCTTATGTATTTATACATGGAGATCATATCCCCCCTTATGTATTATACATGGAGATCATATCCCCCCTTATGTATTATACATGGAGATCATATCCCCCCTTATGTATTATACATGGAGATCATATCCCCCCTCATGTATTATACATGGAGATCATATCCCCCCTTATGTATTATACATGGAGATCATATCCCCCCCTTATGTATTATACATGGAGATCATATCTCCCCCTTATGTATTATACATGGAGATCATATCCCCCCTTATGTATTATACATGGAGATCATATCCCCCCTCATGTATTATACATGGTGATCATATCCCCCTTATGTATTATACATGGAGAGATGTATTATACATGGTGATCATATCCCCCCCTTATGTATTATACATGGTGATCATATCCCCCCTTATGTATTATACATGGAGATCATATCCCCCCCCCCTTATGTATTATACATGGAGATCATATCCCCCCTTATGTATTATACATGGAGATCATATCCCCCCCCCCCCCTTATGTATTACATGACATCCCCCCTTAGATCATGGATCCCCCCTTATGTATTATACATGGAGATCATATCCCCCCTTATGTATTATACATGGAGATCATATCCCCCCTTATGTATTATACATGGAGATCATATCCCCCCTTATGTATTATACATGGAGATCATATCCCCCCCTTATGTATTATACATGGAGATCATATCCCCCCCTTATGTATTATACATGGAGAGCATACCCCCCCCCTTATGTATTATACATGGAGATCATATCCCCCCTTATGTATTATACATGGTGATCATATCCCCCCTTATGTATTATACATGGAGATCATATCCCCCCTTATGTATTATACATGGAGATCATATCCCCCCCTTATGTATTATACATGGAGATCATATCCCCCCTTATGTATTATACATGGAGATCATATCCCCACTTATGTATTATACATGGAGATCATATCCCCCCTTATGTATTATACATGGAGATCATATCCCCCCTTATGTATTATACATGGAGATAATATCCCCCCTTATGTATTATACATGGAGATCATATCCCCTCTTACCTCCTCTTCTCAAGAGAGAAGACATTCAGTTCTTCTAATCTTTTCTCATAGCTGAGCTCCTCCATGCCTATTATCAGTTTAGTTGCCCTTCTCTGTACTTTCTCCAGTTCCCCAATGTTCTTTTTGTGAATTGGTGCCCAAAACTGAACTGCATATTCCAGATGAGGTCTTACTAATGATTTCTACCGGGGGGAAAATTATATCTCTCTCTGGAGTCTATACCTCTCCTAATATAAGAGAGGATTTTGCTCGCTTTAGAACCCACAGCTTGGCATTGCATTCCATTATTAAGCTTGTGATCTACCCAGAACCCCCAGATCCTTCTCCACCATTGACCCCCCCAGATCTTTCTCCACCATTCACCCCCCCAGATCCTTCTCCACCATTGACCCCCCCCAGATCCTTCTCCACCATTGACCCCCCCAGATCTTTCTCCACCATTCACCCCCCAAAGTTGTACTCCCCCTAGTATGTATGATGCATTTGTACCGGGGAAATGATATCTCTCTCTCTCTCTGGAGTCTACACCTCTTTTAATAGAAGAGAGGATTTTGCTCACTTTAGAACCCACAGCTTGGCATTGCATGCCATTATTAAGCTTGTGATCTACCAGAACCCCCAGATCCTTCTCCACCATTGACCCTCCCAGATCCTTCTCCACCATTGACCCTCCCAGATCCTTCTCCACCATTGACCCTCCCCTCCACCATTCACCCCCCAAAGTTGTCTCTCCCCCCAATAGTATGTATGATGCATGCATGTCGTTAGTTCTCCAAGATGTTTGGAACAACCTACCCGCCGAGTTCCTTCAAAAACTGTGTGCAAATGTAGCTAGAGGAATTGGTGCTGCAAAGGTGGTCACACCAAATATCCTTCTGTTCATTTACTTTCAATGTTGTTCACGATAAAAAATAAACTACTAGCACTTCTATTTCTGAAAGCAGTCTTCATTTACAGCATTTTTTCACACCTACCTAAAACGTTTGCACAGTTGTGTATTTATCCTGGTGTGGAGTGTTGGAGATGTGGGGTAATATTCTGCCTATTTTCTGAGATTGCCCTGTAATGCACAAATTCTGGTCCCAGATCTTGCTATTGGCTCACAGACAAACTTGGACAACAATCCGGCCACCTGCCTGCTTCATCTCATGCCAATTCCAAGTATACGTAATACTTACTGATTCAGCACCTCAGTGTAGCAAAGGCATGCATCCAATGCAACTGGAGGCAGCCCAATCCACCCACTATTGGCCAATGGAACTTCAAATTTTTCAAATGACACGGAGGACCAGATGACATTCTGGACTGTTTATAGAGGACCTGATGTCGTTAAGGAAAAAATCAGAAAAAAGTAAAATGTTCTACTTTTTTCTACTATTGTAAAATACGACTTCGTATACCAGATGCTGTAAAAAAAATGTTTTCATTATTTTAGGAGAACCATTCAACCCGCTACTGATCCTGGCCAGCGCTGTTGAGAATATTATCAGTTCAATGCTGTTTGGAGAACGTTTTGACTACAAAGACCCAAAGTTACATGATCTGCTATCTTACACCTCCCAACACATCAAGAATTTTTCATCCCCATTTCACACGGTATGTTTACTGTCAGTGATTGACTTGTCCTCCTGTCTTCTACTAGCACCTTCAGTTATTATCACTGGAAACCAGTTTTGCATGTTGCTAGATTTCCTTGAATGACTCATATTTGGCTCCAAACTTCACTGCCGTGTTCTTCTGTATTGTATTTTATCACTATAATTGCTGCTAACTTTAGGTATTTTTGGAGAAAATGAATAATATATTAACCTCTTGCCGACCGCGGTTTAGCCGAATGACGGCTTCACTGCGGGGCCAGTTCTGAGTGGACGTCATATGACGTCCTCCCAGAACGCGCTCTCATCTGCGCGCCCCAGGACACACTTTATATCACGAGATGTGGTAAAACTGGCCGGCCATACCGGCCTGTTGTAAACTACGTGATCATGCCGGCCTCTTACCACGTGATCCGGTGTCCAATGACACGCTGATCACAGGAAAATGCAAGTGCCGGTTCTCGGCTGCACTTTCCTCACGCTGTCAGATCGTGAGGAAAGTACTGCCGAGAACCGGCAGTTGTCAGAGCGGGGATCGGCACCAATCATCAGGGCACTGATGATCAGTGCCCTGATGATCGGTGCCCAGCAGTGACACCCGCAAGTTCCGCCCAGCAGTGCGCCCACTAGCTCCGCCCACCCGTGCCCAGCAGTGCCCCCACCTGTGCCCAGCAGTGCCCCCACCTGTGCCACTCTGCAGTGCCACCTACCTGTGCCCAGAAGTGCCACCTACATGTGCCCAGCAGTGCCACCCACCTGTGCCCACCCACCTGTGCCCACCAGTGCCACCCACCTGTGCCCACCAGTGCCACCCACCTGTGCCCACCCACCAGTGCTGCCCACCAGTGCCACCCACCAGTGCAGCCCAGCAGTGCTGCCAGTCAGCGCCACCACTCAGTGCCCAGGGGTTGTGCCAGTCAGTGCCACCAGTCAGTGCCCAGCAGTGATGCTTTGAAGTCAGTGCCGTCTATCAGTACCCATCATCAGTGTCACCTATCAGTGCCGCCTATCAGTGCTGCATATCAGTGCTGCCTATCCATGACCCCTAATTAGTGCTGTCTATCAGTGCCGCCTATCCGTGCCACCTCATTAGTACTGCCTATCAGTGCCCTTTAGTGCTGCCTATCAGTGCCCATCAGTGCCGCCTATCAGTGCCCATCAGTGCTGCCTCATCAACGCACATCAGTGAAGGAGAAAAAAATACCTGTTGGAAAAATTTTATAAAAGAAACAAATAAACTTTTTTTTTTTTTTCAAATTTTTTGCACTTTTTTTATTTATAGCGCAAAAAGTAAAGCGCCCAGTGGCGATTAAATACCACCAAAAGAAAGCTCTATTGGTGAGAAAAAAATGATCAAAATTTCATATGGGTACAATGTTGCATGACCGCGCAATTGTCAATCAAAGTGCGGCAGCGCTGAAAGCTGAAAATTGGCCTGGTAAGGAAGGGGGTATAATAGTGCCTGGTAGGCAAGTGGTTAAAGGTTAATGGTTTGGTTTAGAGTTTAGTCTGGGGTTATAGAATATCTAAACCAACATCTGTTTGGTATCAGGCCTCACTTTATATTCCAGGGGTGTCAAACCGGCGGCCCTCCAGCTGTTGCGAAACTACAAGTCCCATCATGCCTCTGCCTTTGAGAGTCATGCTTGGAACTGTCAGTCTTGCAATGCCTCATGGGACTTGTAGTTTGGCAACAGCTGGAGGGCCGCCAGTGTGACACCTGTGTTATATACAGTAAGTTTTTTTTTTTTTTGGAGGGGGCAGGGATTACCTGGAGGTCCTGCCTGTGACAGTCCTTACTATTATAAGCTGACAACGTTGAGACATTGCTAGCAATTAGCAGCAGTGTAGTCAGCCTGCCATGCAATCTCCTTCAGTTGGCCCTTGGGCTGCCTATCAGGTAGAAAGCCAGGGAGGAAGCCCAATGGCCAACAGAAATGGCTCACAGAACAGGCTGACAACCCTGCTGACAAATGAAAAGCAGTGACTTAGTATTGTCAGCCTACAACATGAAGTGCTGTTACTGGCAGAACCTCCAGTTAGGAAGCATTGCACCTGATACACAAAAATGATTTGTAAAGAAAACTATATACTGTGAATTGAAGTTTATTCTGCTTATATTTCGCCTTCTCTGGCTCCTCCCCCCCCCCCCCCCCCCCCCCCCTCCATTGGCTAATGACATGTTTATGAACCTTCCATTTTCATTACATAGCTTATTTTAGATCTAGTGATGTCATTGCGCCACTGGAAAGATTGGGCGTGGTTTTTTTATTTCACGGAACATTGGCCCGTGGCTAAAATGGAAGCAGAATACGGGGGGGGTCAGCAGTAAGTGACCCAGAGGTCAGTAGTAGGTAATATATAGTTCAGAGGTCAGTAGTAGGTGATGTAGAGTTCAGAGGTCAGTAGTGGGTGATGTATAGTTCAGAGGTCAGTAGTAGGTGATGTAGAGTTTCAGAGGTTCAGAGGTCAGTAGTCTAGTTCAGAGGTCAGTAGTAGGTGTGTAGTTCAGAGGTCAGTAGTAAGTGATGTATAGTTCAGAGGTCAGTAGTAGGTGATGTATAGTTCAGAGGTCAGTAGTGGGTGATGTATAGTTCAGAGGTCAGTAGTGATGTATATAGTTCAGAGGTCAGTAGTAGGTGATGTAGAGTTCAGAGGTAGTAGGTGATGTATAGTTCAGAGGTCAGTAGTAGGTGATGTATAGTTCAGAGGTCAGTAGTAGGTAGTGAGGTGTATAGTTCAGTTCAGAGGTCAGTAGTAGGTGATGTATAGTTCAGAGGTCAGTAGTAGGTGATGTATAGTTCAGAGGTCAGTAGTAGGGTGTATGTAGGTGATGTATCAGAGGTCAGTAGTAGGTGATGTATAGTTCAGAGGTCAGTAATAGGTGATGTAGAGTTCAGAGGTCAGTAGTAGGCGATGCAGAGTTCAGAGGTCAGTAGTAGGTGATGTATAGTTCAGAGGTCAGTAGTAGGCGATGCATAGTTCAGAGGTCAGTAGTAGGTGATGTATAGTTCAGAGGTCAGTAGTAGTAGGTTATATATAGTTCAGAGGTCAGTAGTAGGTTATGTATAGTTCAGAGGTCAGTAGTAGGTTATATATAGTTCAGAGGTCACTAGTAGGTTATATATAGTTCAGAGGTCAGTAGTAAGTTCAGAGAGTAGTAAGGAGATAGGAGCTTTCAGTAAAGACCAACGTCTAACTCAACTACAATAGAGTTGAATTAGACTCAAAACACCACCCAACATTCTAGTCATAACACATGGAATATGAAGAAATGGAGGATGAGGCTGCTGTGACCAATAAAATACAACATGAACACTTTTATTAATACACAACAATTAAACACACCATGGTGAAATGAAAAGTCCCCAACTATATTTGCAAGATATGGAAATATCATAGTGTTCTGTGAATACATACACATGGAGAAGCAATATACAATATACAGGCAATATATTTCAGAGTTTGTGTATTAATAAAGCTGTAAGTGCTGTGTAATGCTATGCTATGCAAAGTATCATCAGCCTCATCCTCCCTATCTTCATCTATGTTTTATGTATTCTGAGTAGAATGTTGGGGGGGGGGGGGGGGGGGTCCAATCAGGGTTTTTGGTAGTTGGGTTATATACCCACACCTGCTGGGCGTCTATACTATATACTAAGCACCTTCTGGTTACTTGACAGCTGTCATCTCATAGGGTGAGGAAAGGATATTTGATCAGATCATCTCCCCCCGCAGCTCCACTGGCACTCGATCTCCTCCACAACTGCAGCAAAGATTCATGTAGTGTTTGTGATGGTTTCATAGTGGGGATCGGCTCCCACTTGGTTCCTTCTCCAGCAGGCAAGGGGTTAACGTTAACTGTTATGTGTGGCCCGCTTGGCTCCTTCCTCAGACAATGTCAGAGAACCGGCATCATCCCATGTTCAGCAACATGTCGGGGCACAGTAGGCCCCCTTCCCTTGGACCCCATGTGCACCACACATTGCACCCATGGATGATGCTCCTCTGAGCTAATTGCATTCCTGGCAGATCTTTTTCTGTACCTGCAGCGTCATTAAGGGATAAACATTAGTTATTTGCATGCATTGCAGAGCTGCAAAAAAACCAGTACATCATAATTTGTAATTCTCAGTGTTTTTTTTTTCTCCTTGTGTTTCCACTGGTCAGGTCTGCAACTCTTCCCGTTCCTCCTCAAGCTGCCAATAGTATCAAAAATTGCCTACAAGGAAAGCTCCTACCTGCAGAACTTTGTGCTAGACTACATTGAGGAGCACAAACGCACCCTGAATCCTGAGGCCCCCCCAAGATTTGATTGATTATTTCCTGCTGAAGATGAAAGAGGTGTGTACACCAAGTGTCGTCTTGTGAAGTATCCTTGATAATCATTGGTTGTATTGCCATAAACCAGGCAATTTCTCTGGAGAATGTCTGTGTGAATATAATTGGTTGTACTGGATTAGGATTACATTAGAGTGCAATGGTCCATTTTCAGAATTCCCCTCTCTCTTTTCCTTTCTATCTCCGCACTTCTCTCCCCTCCTCTGCCTTCATTTCTTCTTTCCCTTCTTCTCCCCTCTCCTCCCCCTTTCCCTTGCCTCTTCCTACACCTCATTCCTCCCTGCTCCTCTCCTTTCTATTTAGCGCCATTTGTCTTCTCTTTCTATTTTTTTGGAGAAAGACAATATTGAGTTGGCCCCGCCCTTTGCAGCTATAACAGCTTCAACTCTTCTGGGAAGGCCGTCCACAAGGTTTAGGAGGGTGTCTATGGGAAGGTTGGACCCATTCTTCCAGAAGCACATTTGTCAGGTCAGGCACTGATGTCGGGGGAGGAGGCCTGGCTCGCAGTCTCTGCTCTAATTCATCCCAAAGGTGTTCTATGGGGTTGAAGGTCAGGACTCTGTGCAGGCCAGTCAAGTTCCTCCACCCCAAACTGACTCCTCCATGTCTTTATGGACCTTGCTTTGTGCACTGGTGCTCAGTCATGTTGGAACAGGAAGCGGCCATCCCCAAACTCTTCCCACAAATTTGAGAGCATGAAATTGTCCAAAATGTCTTGGTATGCTGGAACTAAGGGGCCAAGCCCAACCCTGAAAAACAACCCCACATCATAATCCCCCCTCCACCAAACTTTACACTTAGGTTCTCCTGGCAACTGCCAAACCCAGACACGTCCATCAGATTGCCAGACAGAGAAGCATGGTTGGTCACTCCAGAGAACACGTCTCCGCTGCTCTAGAGTCCAGTGGCAGCGTGCTTTACACCACTGCATCCGACGCTTTGCATTGCACTTGGTGATGTAAGGCTTGGATGCAGCTGCTCGGCCATGGAAACCCATTCCATGAAGCTCTCTACACACTGTTGTTGGGCTCATCTGAAGACCACACCAAGTTTGGAGGTCTTTAGCTATTGACTCTGCAGACAGTTGGCGACTTCTGCGCACTGTGCGCTTCAGCATGCACTGCTCCCGCCCTGTCATGTGACGTGGCCTACCACTTGGTGGCTGAGTGGCTGTTGTTCCCAGTTGCTTCCACTTTGTTATAATCCCACTAACAGCTGAGCGTGGAATATTTAGTAGCCAGGAAATGTCACGGATGGACTTATTGCCCAGGTGGCCACCTATCACGGGACCACGCTTGGAGTCACTGAGCTCCTGAGAGCGACCCATTCTTTCACCAATGTTTGTAGAAGCAGTCTGCATGCCTAGGGGCTTGATTGTATACACCTGTGTCCATGGAGGTGATTGGAACACCTGAATCACATGTTTTGGAGGGCGGGGCCAATACTTTTGCAATACAGTGTATGTGTAAAAGGGTCTTTAACTGTAACTGTGTCTTCAATTTTTTATTTAACACATTGCAAAAAAGTGTCTGGTGGGTAGTGAGAAAGTATTAATAGTCTCTTTGCAGGATGCTTTGAACATACATTTATATGCAACCTCAATGCCCTTTGCAGCTGCTGTAATATTTGGTTCATGTTGGTTGCTTGTTTCTGCTGATGTTAATTCCCCTCTCTGTCTCCTCAGGTGGAACATGAGAAGGACCCAGATTTCTGTGATGAGAGCCTACAGGCAATCTTGGTGAGTCTGATATCGGCAGGTTCCGAGACCACCGTTAGCACCCTGAAATTCTGCCTGGTCTTGTTCGCTCACTATCCTGATGTACAGGGTAAGATCCATTTGTGGAATTCAGAAAGACATGTTATGTTCATCTGCCAAATATCCCATCCTGCACTACACCACCAGGAAAGAACTGGCTGCAGATCCACCTTTACATTGATTTGTTTATGACCTAGAAGTGCTCTGAAAAGACATAAGTGAGAACTGAAAAACAAGAAAACATTTTATTTATATACTTGGATGTTGTGGAACCCCCAGGCCACATCCTCCATTGACCAAAAAAATGTCTAGTCTGAGCATCTCTAACATAGCAAAACCCATCCACCATCTCCGGCCACCAATTGCGAGTGCTGCAGGAGATGGCTAGTAGTTTGCTGGCTGTGTGGAGACAACTGGTGGAGTTCTGAGTGTTGCCAAGTGCAAGACAACTGAATAGGGTGAGAGGTACTTGTACTGTCTATAGTCGGGGCTTTTCTTCCTTCAAAAAAGGTGCAGGAACTCCTCCCCTCTGAGGTATTCTTGTCTCCGCCCCCTACCCCTGACCTTCACTTCATTCCACCCTCTACCCACCTCCCAGTACTTCTCCTTTTAGAGAATACAGGGCCAAGTATCATTTTGTGCTGCTAAATAATTAGTATGGAATTTGTCAATGATAACAAGAAAAGGAGAAACATACTACCCCCCCCCCCCCCCCGTAGCCAGCAGCAATAGACCCCCTCTGCAACAATGGATTCCTTCAGCAACAATTGGTCTCCAAAACAAAATTATATGTTTGGCAACAATAGACCTCCAGCAGCTACAACAGATCTCCCAGCAGACAGTATCAATAGACTCTCCAGCAGCTAGCAACAATAGACAATATACCCCTCCCTCAACAGTAGATCCCTTCCAGCAACAATGGACCCCCATCAACAATAGACTCCCCCACCAGGAACAATAGACCACGACACAAAAATAGATCCCCTTCAGTGACAATAGATCCCCCAGCAGCCAGCAACAATAGATCTTCCAGCACACCCCAGCACCCTTGCCATTACATACATTCAGTGCTGGAGGTGCCAGAACTGTGTTCCTCTGCATTCCCACTGAAAGAAAGCCCCGTCCATAGTTATGCTCCTCTTCTATTTCTAGACTCCCAACCAGTACTGGCCAACAAACTCCATGCTGGAAGCGCTCATTCTCTACATACATTTTTATAAAATTCTAATAATTCCCTTTTACACACAGACAGTTTAGGGAAATCTCAGGTACCTTCTTTTCCATTTCAGCAAAGGTCCAACAAGAAATTGATGAGGTGACGCAGTCATTGCGCCTACCTAGGTTCGAAGACCGACCACAAATGCCGTACACCAATGCTGTCATTCATGAAATGCAGAGAGTTTTAGACCTGACATCAACTACTCTCCTCCATGCTGTGACCAAAGACATCGAGTTCCATGGATACGCCATCCCGAAGGTATACAACCATGATATATTCCAGCCTGTGTTTTTGTCAGACTGTGTAGATCAAATGGGAAATAGTAATGAGACACAGCTTACATTTTAAAAGGGGGGGGGGGGAATGCAAAATTAGTTGTAGGGTATATAGGCACATGCCATATTTCTGCTATACAAAAAATATGGACGGTTACTTGTACTGCGCATGGCCAGCTACTAGTTGGATGCCATGCTGTCTGTTCATTCTGAGTTTGTTTTCTTTTAATACCTTTAGCAGAATGTAATATAATGCAGTGCAGAAAAGACAATAAGAAACCATTCTTTCCTCTTACCTGAAAAAAGGTGCAAATACCAAGCGCAATGAGGTTCCAGGGGATATGTAGATGACCACATTATGGGCAGCTCCAACCACTCATCTGACCAGCAATGAGACATGAGCACAAAACAACAAATGAAGGAGCGCTCCCAACCCTGTGCAAGTCAATAGAGTCACCAGCCCAGGAACAGATATAATCAAAACACACTTTAATGTTGGGTTAAAAAGCATGACATGTAGGAGCAGGGCTGTGGATAAGGGGGTACCACCAGTCCTCCTGTGGGGGCCCAGGCCAGCAGGGGGGCCCTATGCAGCTGGGTGAATCAGATGTGGGCAGGGAGGATGACCAGCATGGCGGGGGAAATTACTGGAAGTGAATCCCCTGTATGGGTCCCTCTGCAGCAGCTGAAAGCTGGCTTCTTCTTCTCTCTCCCTGGCTTTCAGCTGCTGCAGTTGGAGCCATCAGGGGACTGGTTCCAGTAATTGCCCCCTTGGTGCAGTCTATAACCCTCCCTGTGCATCATACATTCCCCCCTGCTGCCCAGCCCCCCCGTGTGCCCCCACCCCTGCAGTGCTGCCATTCCCTCCACCCTTCCAACCGCACAATAGGATCCTTCAAGATGGAAATTGGGGGAAAGGTCCTCTAAATAGGTCACATTTACCATCCCCTTCCTTTTTCTGAATGAACACAGTAAGTGATTGGTACCAATCATTCATAGGTGTTCATTCGTAACTGAAGAATAGTAAACTGTTTTTTTTTTTGAGGGAGGGGAACCTGTCAAGTTGGCTGTATGGGGCCCTGCGGTTTCTAACAACAGCCCTGTGTAGGAGTGCCCAGATGGCTACATCACCAAGCCAGTGGGTGGAGAAACACATATTCCCAGAAGCTGGAGGATGACACATAATCCTGGACCCAACAGTAGGTTGCTCAGCCTAGGAGCCTCAGGACAGTGGGAAAGGTGTGTGTGGATGGTAGCTGCTGGGATCACTGAGATGGCGGGTCTGCTGGAAGTCACGTGTCCCAGATCCGGTTGTTATGTCATACACCTGGCAAGAGACCGACCGAACAAGGGCTGGTGAGGGCAAACTGGAAGCCTAGGGGAGCACTCCAACCACATCAAACCAGAGGAGAGAAGCCGGTCATCATGACTTATATTATTATTATTATACAGGATTTATATGGTGCCAACAGTTTGCTCAGCGCTTTACAAAATGAAGGGAGACAATACAGCAACAATACAGTTCAATACAAGAGGGATAGGAGGGCCCTGATCCTGGGAGCTTACAATCTAAGAGGGAGGAGCTGATGGCACAAAAGAATAACTGTGGGGGATGGACTGGTAGAAGGAATAGAAGATTCCATTATTAGCTGAAGGCAGGGATAGGTAGCTGAAGAGAGAGGTTTTCAGAGATCGCCTAAAAGTGAGCAGAGTAGGCGATAGTCTGATAGATTGGAGTAGAGAGTTCCAGAGGATGGGGGAGGCTCTGGAGAAGTCCTGAAGATGAGCGTGAGGAGGAGGTTATCATGATAACATGTTTCAGGGACTTGTCCTTCCTCAGATCATCAGGGTTGGGAGCGCTCCTCTAGTTGTTTTTATTTTTTCTCCTCCTGCCTGGGTACCTGTATACTCTCTATTTACTCCTTACGTCTTTCACATTTTACTGTCAGATAAACAAGTTAAAATTTGAGTATTCAGCTTGTCAGACTTTCACATGATTTAAACACAGCAAATTCTTTACTCCTGCGCTGGGGATAGACTCAGCAGAGGCTAGAATACAATGTGAATGTTCTGGAATATGCACTGCTTGCTGCCCTCAATGGACCGGGGTAGTCCAAAGTCACTAAATGCAAATGAAAAAAACAAAAAGAGGGCGCACCGGCCTAGTGCATTATTATTTAAAAATATTTATTGAAGTAATAAAAAAGTAGGTATCCTACTCACATATAAAACAGGCATATCACAATGAACAAAGGTGTTCAATCCATATAGCATCTGAGTCTACAAACGATGGAACTCTGGATGACCAACTGACTGACGCGTTTCAAGTGGACTCAGCCTCTTCCTGTGGTGGCTCTGAGGAAGAGGCTGAGTCCTCGAAACGCGTCAGCCAGTTGGTGGACTCAGATGCTATATGGATTGAACACCTTTGTTCATTGTGATATGCCTGTTTTATATGTCCATTGTGAGTAGGATACCTACTTTTTTATTCTTTCAATAAATATTTTTAAACGATGATGCACCAGGCCGGTGCGCCCTCTTTATGTTTTCTCATTTGCATTTCACATGATTTAATCGGCACTGGAGCCTGTAGAATGAGTTTGTATAAAATAGACTCTGTCTCTCTCCTTTACCAGGGCACCATCATCATCCCATTCCTGTCATCGGTGCTCTATGACCCCTCTCAATGGGAGACACCAGAACGGTTCAATCCCGGACACTTCCTGGATGAGGAGGGCCAGTTCCGCAATCGGGTGGCCTTCATGGCATTCTCAGCCGGTGAGAAACCTACATTATGCTGTCAGTTCCAGGCTGGGGTGAAGTAATCCATTTCTTTGCTGTAATACATAGAAATATTCTATCACACAAGTCACTGCAGATATGATGTCTCGGAGAGTCCCCGTGATCATTCAGGAAAGACACCCTCCACCCCCACCATACCAGAAAAACCTCACCGCAATCACCATACAAATGTGTGAAAAAAACCTGAATATTCTAACGCATATAAACCTTCTGTAACTAACCCCTCGCCCTCCAGGGGATCCCCCCTCCCCCTTCCTGATCAGGCCATTTTTTGCAGTATGGCGCTGCGTTACCTTAACTGACAACTGCGCGGTCATGCAACGCTGCACCCAAATGAAAGGTATGTCCTTTTTTTCCCCCACAAATAGAGCTTTCTTTCGGTGGTATTTGATCACCTCTGCGGTTTTAATTTTGTGCGCTATAAACAAAAAAAACCTGACAATTTTGGGAAAAAAGTAATATTTTTGACTTTTTGCTATAAAACATCCAGTAAAAAAATTTAAAAAATCAAATTTCTTCATAAATTTAGGCCAAAATGTATTCTGCTCCATGTCTTTGCTAAAAAAAAAATCCCAATACGTGTAAATTAATTGGTTTACGTGAAAGTTATAGTGTCTACAAATGGCGGTATAGATACCGGGGATTTTTTTTTTATTCTAGTAATGGCATTGATCAGCGACTTATAGCTGGACATGGCGGGCATTCTAACACTGGGGGGGGGGACTGACTTGGTGTCGCTGACATCCCAATGACACTAATAGAGTGATTAGTGCTAGTAAAAAGCACTGACACTGCACTAATGACACTGGGCAGGAAGGGGTTAACATGAGGGGCGATCAAAGGGTTAACTGTGTGCTGTGTGTTTTACTAGGGCGACATGCTGTGCAGAGAAGAAAACAAAGCAGCATGTCCTTGCTGGCAGGAGAGAGACCTGTGTTGTTTACACTCAGGTCTGTCCCGTCAGCTTTCCCCAACGATCGCCAGGAATCTCCGTCCTAGACCCGGTAAATGACATCCCTATGGCGGTGCGGCTAGTGCGGCGCACGCACCCCCTACCCAGAAATGCAAATCACGTATTTATACACATGTTTTTGTACAGCCCTGGTGCCCTTTAGCAGTAGCTCTGCTATAGGGCAGCGGGAAAGCGGGCTAACGTTAGTACTGTTGCTCACACTATTTGTGTTCCCACAATAAAAGCATAAAAAATATATAAGTAAATAAGTGCCGCGCAGTACAAATACTCCATGTATATTATATATTTCATATATTTGGGTTGTTTTGCAGTAATGCACGGTACATGATGATTTATCACTAGGAGTATTTGTACTGCGCGGCTCTTATTTACTTATATATTTTTTCTCCACCACCATATACTTCCAATTTATTCTGCCTCCACAGCGCTCTCTTACCTATTCTTCCTCTGTCATAGTCCCCGTAGAATACCCATTATTGATGCCTAGGCTGACGTCACCCCCTCAGCCATGCAGAAATGTTCGTCCCTAGTGACTGGTATTTTGTGGTGGTGGCAGCCAACAGAACGAGCAATAATGGAGGACAGTGAAGGTAAGTAGAAGATTGTTGGGAGATCTTTGGCAAGGAGCAACGCTCCCCTTAACCCCTTCCAGTCCGGACACTTTCACCCCCTTCCAGTCCGGACACTTTCACTCCCTTCCAGTCCGAACACTTTCACCCCCTTCCAGTCCGAACACGCTTTCACCCCCTTCCAGTCCGAACACTTTCACCCCCTTCCTGTCCGGACACTTCCCCCCCCTTCCAGTCCGGACACTTTCACCCCCTTCCTGTCCAGGCCAACTTTCAGCTTTCAGCACTATCACACTTTGAATGACAATTGCGCGGTCATGCAACACTGTACCCATATGAATTTTTTAGCATTTTTTTGAGACAGATAAAACTTTATTTTGGTGATATTTATTCACCACTGGGATTTTTATTTTTTTGCTATATAAATGAAAAAGTCCAAACATTTTGAAAAAAAAAAAGTGTTTTTCTTATATAATTTTGCAAATAAATAATCTTTCTTCATAAATTTTGGTCAAAATGTATTCAGTTATCTTTTTAGTTAAAAAAAAAAAAACACAAATTAGTTTATAACCAAAAATTATAATTTTTTTAAAAATGTTTTTAAATTTTTTATTTTAATTTTTTATATATTATTTATTTATTTATTTATTTATTTTTTGCACTGATTGCTTTTATACCCATAAAGGCTGTAAAAACAATCATTTTTTCTTCTCTCTGGCTGCATTCTTGCAGCCTTTGAGAAATACTGTGTGAGCTGTGATTGGGCACAGCTTGTCACATGGTACAAGGCTGTTGTGAATGGCCCTGTACCATGTGACCTCTGTGATCATTTCACAGATTTCACGAGTAGTAAAAAGTGATGTCAGCAAGTGACATCTTGTTTGCTACTGTTCATGTGATCACTGATTGGGCAATCAGTGATCACATGATTGGGACCTCACACAGAGATCCCGTACAGTGATCTGTGTTTCAGGGAGCGCGCACAGGCAGTGAATGCGGGGGACGTTTAGAAACGGGTGCCCACTTCTGCACTGCTCCCATCCAGCTGTCTATGTACATGGGCCGGACGGGAAGTGGTTAAATAAACACCTCAGTTAAAATGGAAAAATAAGCCCTAAAATCCATAGGTAGAGAACCCAACCCAGATCTTTTGCTTCTCATCCTGAGAATGACCTAATGTACTAAGCCACTTGCATAAAAAATCTCCTTTTTTCCTCTAATCATTTTTTTTAATACATATGTCCAGAGAAAAGAATACTTTTGTTTTTTTGGGGGGAAAAGGTGGCAGTCCTGAAAGTCCATCTATATTGTTGCAGTAAACATAACACCATGAAGGGAGAGGATACCCACATGGAAGAAAAATACACTTGAAATATATTTTAAAAATATTCTTCTGTAATATATTGATATGTACAGTGGGGATGGAAAGTTTGGGCACCCCAGCTAAAAATGTGTATTAATGTGCATAAAGAAGCCAAGGAAAGATGGAAAAATCTCCAAAAGGCATCAAATTACAGATTAGACATTCTTATAATATGTCAACAAAAGTTAGATTTTATTTCCATCATTTACACTTTCAAAATAACAGAAAACAAAAAAATGGCGTCTGCAAAAGTTTGGGCACCCTGCAGAGTTAATATCTTGTACTGCCCCCTTTGGCAAGTATCACAGCTTGTAAACGCTTTTTGTAGCCAGACAAGAGTCTTTCAATTCTTGTTTGAGGTCTCTTTGCCCATTCTTCCTTACAAAAGTCTTCCAGTTCTTTGAGATTTCTGGGCTGTGGGTCACTGTCTGTCTGTCACGCACGGCTCTTTTAAGGTCTATCCATAGATTTTCAATTATGTTGAGGTCAGGAGATTGTGAAGGCCATGGCAAAACCTTCCGTTTACGCCTCTTGATGTAACCTCCCGTGGATTTCGAGGTGTGTTTAGGATCATTATCCATTTGTAGAAGCCATCCTCTCTTTAACTTCAGCTTTTTCACAGATGGCATCAAGTTACCATCCAAAATTTGCTGAAATTTTATTGCATCCATTTTTCCTTCTACTCGTGAGATGTTCCCTCTGCCACTGGCTGCAACACAACCCCCCCAAAGCATGATTGATCCAACCCCATGCTGCTAACAGTTGGACAGAGGTTCTTTTCATTAAATTCTGTGCCCCTTCTTCTCCAAACATAACTTTGCTCATTCTGGCCAAAAAGTTCCATTTTAACCTCATCGGTCCACAGAACTTGTTTCCAAAATGCATCAGGCTTGTCTATATGTTCATTTGCAAAGTTCAAACAATGATTTTTGTGGTGAGGACGTAGAAGAGGTTTTCTTCTGATGACTCTTCCATGAAGACCAAATTTGTACAAGTATCTCTTTATAGTGGAATAGTGGACCACAACTCCAGTGTCTGCCAGATCTTTCTGGAGGGATCGTGCAGTCAAACGTGGGTTTTGAATTGTTTTTCTCACAATCCTGCGAGCTGTGCTGTCTGATATTTTTCTTGGTCTTCCAGATCTTGCTTTAACTTCCACTGTTCCTGATGACTGCCATTTCTTAATTACATTCCGAACAGAGGATATTGACATCTGAAAACGCTTTGCTATCTTTTTATAGCCTTCTCCAGCTTTGTGAGCGTCAACTATTTTCAGTTTCAGTTTTCTAGACAACTGCTTAGAAGAACCCATGGTGCTGATTGTTGGGGCAAGGTCAGATGAGTCTGGGCATTTAAAACCTTTGAGATTGACATCACCTGGTCTTCCCAGTAGATGATTGAGAACAATCCATGACACTGGCAGCTCTCAGCTTGGCAAAGGGGAGCAGTGCATGCTATAAATTCTGCAGGGTGCCCAAACTTTTGCAGACGCCATTTTTTTGTTTTTTTCTGTTATTTTGAAAGTGTAAATGATGGAAATAAAATCTAACTTTTGTTGACATATTATAAGAATGTCTAATCTGTAATTTGATGCCTTTTGGAGATTTTTCCATCTTTCCTTGGCTTCTTTATGCACATTAATACACATTTTTAGCTGGGGTGCCCAAACTTTCGATCCCCCACTGTATGTGAAATACTACAATTTTGGCCATATTCAATATATTTCACTAAATACATATATATATATATATATATATATACTGCATGTTGAAATACGTTTTTATATATTACAAAATATATGAAGAATATTTTTAAAAATATATTTTTTTAAAGACATACAGTATATTTGAAATGTATTCTTAATTAAGGTGATTGCAGCCGTATTAGTGCATTTGCGACAGAAACAATTGAGTCTGACGTGATACTTTTTTTATTTGCACTAACATACAATTTTGAGGACAAGCTTTCAGGGTATGTCCCCTTCTTCAAGGTCCAGGCAGTACTACTACATAAAGTTTTAGCAGAATGTTAGAAGAGATGTTGAAAGGGGATGAGAAACAAACAAAAAAAAAAAACAGAGAAAGAAACACACACAGATGTACACAGCAATGGTTATAAGACTAGGATTAGACTAGAGATAAGACACAGCAAAAGCAAAGACTGGGGGGGGGACAACACTCACAGAGGGGGTCGTAAAACTGTTGGATAATGAGTGAGGAATCCCATGCCCAAATTAAGGCTGTTATCTCTTGTATCAAATAGAATTATCATTCTTCGTTCAAAAGTTTTTCTTTCCTGAATAGTTTTGAAATTTCCAATAAGAACTAAAATATTGAGGTCTTCCATAGTGTGGTCTGGTTGTGCGAAATGGTGTCCAAAAGTCATCTTCTTTATGTTCCTTGATGGTATGTCTGTGCAAATTTATCCTTGTTTGCAACTTCTGTCCTGTTAACAGGAAAAAATACAGACATAGTGTCATAGACTAAGTGGTTAGCACTTCTGCCTGGCAGTACTCGGGTCTTTGGTTCGAATCCCAACCATGGCACCACCTGCCTGGAGTTTGCATGTTCTCCCTGTGCCTGCGTGAGTTTCCTCAGGGTATTCTGGTTTCCTCCCACTCTCCAAAGACATGCTGGTAGGTTAATTGGCTCCTGTCAAAATTGTCCCTAGTATGTGTATGTATGAATGTGAGTTAGGGACCTTAGATTGTACGCCCCTTGAGGGTTAGGGACTGATGTGAATGTACTATATATGTAAAGCGCGGAGTAAATTGATGGCGCTATATAAGTACCTGAAATAAATGGTCCCTAGTGGCCTCCATAGAATCCATTCCCCCAACCTGTGATCCATAGTGGCCTCCACAGAATGCAATACCCCAGCCTGTGGTGCATAGCGACCTCCAAAGAATCCAATCCACCAATTTATAATCCATAGTGGCCACCATTATGGTTCCTGCTAGCCGTTAAATTTCCAAAACTGTGAATGTATTTGGGTATGATTAGGTGGAGCGCACCACAGGGAACCAGAAGGATCCACTCAACAGGAGATTTTATCCTGAACTGGTGGGTCCATAAACGATCCAGGGATTCACTCCTCAGTTCTTGTCCTCCATTCATCTCCAGCCTTATGCACATTACTGCTAACAAATATCACTGAAGTTGTAAATGTGATCGATTTGATATTTTATTACACAATGGAATAAAAAAAAAAACTATGGTCCTGTATGGATTATTTCTTTAACTCATGTGCAAATTTTCTTCACCTTTTCTACAGGAAAGCGTGTTTGTCCCAGAGAGAGTTTGGCCCGAATGGAGCTTTTCTTTCTCCTCTCTGCTCTGCTCCAGAAATTCACCATCAAGCTGCCCCCAGGAGCTGAACGTCGGGACTCCACTCCAAATGGCTGCATGTGTTAACAAATATGACATTTTGTCCAATGCTCAGCTGTGCGCCGTCCCCCGAGCATTGTCCACCAAGTAACCTGAGATATTGCTATGAAAAGATTTGTCCACCAAGTAACCTGAGATATTACTATGAAATGATTTGTCCACCAAGTAACCTGAGATATTGCTATGAAATGATTATCTCGGGGCTTCTTTGTGGTGGACCTCCATACACAAGTATAATTTGCAACAAAATTAAAACTTTGGCATGCTTTACTACAATCTGTGTAAAAGGTTTTTTTCATTTTAAAATAATATTAATACCTTCAGTAAGGTCCTGCGCTGGCCACTTCTCCCACTGACCCCTAATGTAAGGGTACACTTCTCCCACTGACCACTAATGTAAGGGTAACTGTAAGGGTACACTTCTCCCACTGACCACTAATGTAAGGGTACACTTCTCCCACCACTGAAGGGTACACTTCTCCCACTGACCCCTAATGTAAGGGTACACTTCTCCCACTGACCACTACTAATGTAAGGGTACACTTCTCCCAATGATCACTAATGTAAGGGTACACTTCTCCCACTGATCCCTAATGTAAGGGTACACTTCTCCCACTGATCACTAATGTAAGGGTACAGGGTACACTTCTCCCACTGACACTAATGTAAGGGTACACTTCTCCCACTGACCCTAATGTAAGGGTACACTTCTCCCACTGACAACTAATGTAAGGGTACACTTCTCCCACTGACCACTAATGTAAGGGTACACTTCTCCCACTGACCACTAATGTAAGGGTACACTTCTCCCACTGACCTTCTAATGTAAGGGGTACACTTCTCCCACTGATCACTAATGTAAGGGTACACTTCTCCCACTGATCACTAATGTAAGTAAGGGTACACTTCTCCCACTGATCCCTAATGTAAGGGTACACTTCTCCCACTGATCCCTAATGTAAGGGTACACTTCTCCCACTGACCAAATGTAAGGGTACACTTCTCCCACTGACCCCTAATGTAAGGGTACACTTCTCCCACTGACCCCTAATGTAAGGGTACACTTCTCCCACTGATCACTAATGTAAGGGTACACTTCTCCCACTGACCACTAATGTAAGGGTACACTTCTCCCACTGACCACTAATGTAGCGAGGACATTTTTCGCTATTGTGTGCAGGTTGTTTTCTTTGTATATCTATTTGTTATTAAATAAATGCTTTGATTTATCAGATGGTTATTATAGTATTAATTGGTCAGAGGAAGGGGAGAGGGGCAGACAGACCCTGACGTGTTATGGGATGCCATTGAAAAGTCTCCTGTAATAAGCACTACGGTGATCAGAATATTATGGAAGAATTCATCCAATTGAGTCTTTAAGAAATTTGGAATGTTCCCATTACCAGTCCTTAGAACAAAAGAGCCAGAAATAAGTACAAAAGAAATGTAATTAGGTGGCTCTTTGTGTTTTCCATGTTTTTGTGGACTTTGAGGCACGTCTCATAAGAACATGCAGAGCTCCCAGAGGTGTTCCTTGGATTCTCGAAGGGCCAAACATTCTTGCTTCTACTGAATGGTAACCCATCACAAACTTCTTTCCCCGAGTAGATGAAACCCCAGAGATGAGGGTGTGCAGAGTATGAAACTATAGGGACAGTAGTGACAGGTCTCCCTGAAATAAAAGGGACACACAATCCTTCACTACACTGGAGAGGGGATGGAGAATGTTTCCTCTATTGGTGGCATCTCACTGGGGAAAACCCGTATGTGCTGGAGGTGGAATCTCACTATACAGATGATGTACCCCAAGGTGAGAGAGATGCATGTGTGTGATCAAGGTGAGGCCTCACTGAGGAAAGACCATTGCCTGAGTGTGCTGGTGGAAGGATCCTACAGAGGAAAGAGCGATGGTGTGCCAAAGGTGAGATCTCACTTGGAACAGACCAATGTGCGTGTGCTGGGGGTGTGATGATCTCATACTAGAACATTCTTTATTGAAGAAATATTGCCTAAGTTCTTTTGGCCAGACTTCTCCTATGGGTCACATGAGTGCACTTAGCTCTGAACTTCTGTGACCCAGATTCATAGCAGCAGTGTGGACTATTGCACTCCTGGCGTATGACATTAGATACCGTAAATTCTGAGCTGTCTGTAGAAAGGTAAGAAAATATTGTCCCATTTTCTTTCACCATTTTCAGAGCATTTGTCTGTTTTTTTTCCTCCAGGTGAGGGCTGTCAGCCCTCTGTATTTTTACAGATGGTTTGAAAAAAAAAAAAAAAAAACCCTGCTTGCCCCCATGTCTGTGATGTGAGTTTTATGTAAAAAAGTCTCAGGTGCTGAAATATGGAGCATTTCACCACCTGGTACTGCAGTTGTGCTGGGCACTGTTAGTCCAACAGTGACACCATAGTTCTGGTGTCTGTAGAGAAGCACCGCTGACCACCAATACTAGGTGTTTGTAGTGGGATGTCTGGGGGTCACACAACAGGATTGCCCCTGTTATGGGTTCTTCTGGGCTACACTAGGCACCTGTAACAGGATCACTTAACTTTACACCCACATGGAAAAAAAATATTTGAAATATATTTTAATAAATTTGAAATGCTACAATTTTAGCCGTATATATATTTTCAAATATATTTTTCTTCCATATGGGCACATGGGGTACCTTTACTTGTGCCATCTTCAGCACTGCTTGCGAAAAAGGCTGCCATTGAGGAATACCCAACCTTAAGGCGGGCCTCCACTCTTAGAGATGAACACACATCGTGTACACTTGCACAATAACTGTCCTTCAGGTAACTCTTGGGTACCCGTACAAATACACACCTTCACTATTGACTTGCAGTTAGGAGGGATACGATGAGTCTGTGTCCACCTCCACCTGTCCAGCGTTCTCCACTACCTCACTCCCAGTAGCAGAATGGAACCCCACCGTGCACCTAGTGTGGGCTCCATGCATGCACTTGACTCTTGACTTCTCTACCTCTGCACTAGCTGGGAACCTCAGGGGTGCCGAGCCGCTCCCATTGTTATGGGAAACAGACATCTTTGGAAGGAGTGCTTCCAACACCTCCCTTGCTGCTAAAGGTTGTCCCACCTGACACAGGCACACGCTTATAGGATGCTTGACTGATTGCTGGCTTCCATTACCCTCAGTAACCACTTGCTGTACGGCACTAGGATGACTCTGTAAGTTCTGTCTTCATACCCCAATGTGCCTAGTGACCCAAAGTTTTAAGTGAAGTGTACAATGCGCCGGTTACTAGCGTTGCACATCTTTAGGAAACTTTGGACCGAGCAGAAGGCTGGCTTTACTCAGAAAAGTGCCAGAAACATTAGTCCAACATGTGAGAACAGTCCTTTTTTCTATGTCCCTAAACCCTAACTCAGGCTTGTGTGCTGTCCTGGCATACCTACAAAATGTAGAGTCCATTAGTGGTAAGTCCATTAGGATCTGCAGAGTCTAGCAACTGGTGTCTTCGGTGTGAACCCCGGGCCCCAGTGGCTTCCTACATTACATTGGGTTCCAAGATAACAGAGAGGTGTAATGTCATTCTCTTTCAGGCCCAGGATTCACAGCAAGAGCCTCAGAACACTGGGTCTAACCCAAGAAGCCCGCTGTCGGGGGATGTAGGAAGAGTGCCTTGAGTGGAGGAATGACGTTGTAAGCTGGCTGAGGCTGGGTGCAACAAGTCTGACCATGTCTGTCTGCAGTATGGGTTGAACAAAGCTCAGCTTACACAAAGCCTGTCTGGGCAAAGACTGAACTGCGTTTATACAATCCCTTAATACCTGTGGTGAACATGCAGCATAATGCTCCAAGAAGCAATCCACATCATCCTCCAATAACCACACCAGGGACTCTACCTGGTCGGCACTAAATGGCGGCAAAAATTCATCCCTGCTTTCAGGGGTACCAGATGAAACCAACTCAGCACAAACCTGAATCAAAGGTTGCACCTCAGAGAACTCTGTGCCCTGATCTACTAGAACATGAGCGAGCCGTATACATTCTAGCAGTTCATCCCGGGGATACTCCCTCAGAGCCTGATAAGCATATTCTCTGTCATCAAAAACCAGCAGATATAAATACACAACCTCATCAAGATCCATCCTTCCCATCAACAAGCCAAGATGGCTTCCCTGTGCAGCCACTTCTGGTCAGGATTGGCCTTGGTGTAATGTCAGGGCTCTGGGTATGACCAGATGTATGTGAACTGACGCAGGGAAACGCAGGCTTCAGATATGTTATAAACAATATAATTTATTAATACTAACAATACAAAACGCAGTGCAATACTAAAACATAAACAAAGTGCAAACGAACCAAACCAAACCACCCACAGATAACAGTACATACAATGCAAGCGTCGTCAGGCAGGCCGGGTCAATAACAATCGGGCAGGTAGGAACAGGAGGAGCAGGCAGAGAGTAGTCAGATCACGAGCCGGGTACAGCAACTAACGGGCAGGTAGGTACAGGGGGTCAGGCAGAGAATGGTCGGGGTCACAAGCCAGGGATCAAACAGGAGAAGTCAGCAGAGGTCAGAATCAGGCAGGGTCGGCAACCAGTCAGGCAGGACCAGGAACGCAGGTAACAAGATACAGGGGCCCATGAAGAAACACACACCAAGGCCCAGACTGCAGGTCTGGCAATCCCTTAAATACACCTCCGTAATCAGCTTCAGGTGTTTGGCTGACTGCAGGGTTGAGTCTCTGATTGCTGAGAGCACCCGCTGGCCAACCCTGGTACTGCAGCCCACAAGGCAGGTGAGTCCCACCATTATTGGCAAGTCCATTCCTGACACCCGCCAAGCGGAAAACCCGGGAACTCAGGTCAACCCTAATCCTCCCATCCTGGGACATCACCTAGCTAGCTGTATTGCAACCTGCTTAAATGTTTAAAGTGGTTCTAAAGGCTGAAAGTTTTTCTATGCATAAAGGTAACAAAGCTTCAGTGTGCAGTTCCCCCCTCAGCCCCCTAATACTTACCTGAGCCCGAAATTAAAGCCCCATGAAGAAAATTATGCCACCATTGAGAAAGGAATGCTTAGCAATAAAGTGGACTTTAGATTCTCTCCGGTACTA